AAATCACACGCCGCAGAAATGCTGTAAGTAGCGTTAAGTTTTTAAATGGGAAGAAGTTAAGTATTTGTACAAGAAAAAAATCAAGTTTTTCTTTTTTAAGCTTTATAGTAAATTATATTGTCTAAAATTTACAACTGTGAATTTGGTCTACATACAACATATAGATTTTGCTAAAAAAAGTCATAAGTAAAGCCTTTTCAAAACGTAAGAATAAAAAACTTTTTTTTTAACAAAATTACAGATTACCCCGCGAAACATTCGATGCAGTTTTTTTTGATTCTAATGGCAGTAAAAAGTCACTTTAGGATGTTTTGCTTTACTTACAGCAAATGTTACCGAAGTCGACATTGAAAGAAAGTCCATTGGTGCACAGCCGGGGATCGAACCTACGACCTCAGTATGAGAGTCGCACGCTGAAGCCACAAGGCCAAGACTGCTCCAAATACATTCACAGAAAAAAAAAACTTCACAGTAATGAGTAGATTAAAATATTTACTAAAAGACTAACTAACTATTTAGTATAGGAACTGACATGAAGAAAACTTTCAAATCTATTTTTTAATGATTTTTTTTTTTAATTTGGCCTTGTTTAATTTTCCTGTCCACGTGTATTGGGCCTTGGCGTCATAGATTGCATCCGTTTTTTTATCCTTTTATTAGTAAGTTCCCGCGAACTTCGTTTCGCCTTAATATAATTTTACTTTGCCTACTTTTTTAGTAGATACATACCAATACATGGAATATTTTGTTATGCGACTCCAATCTGATCGCCTTTCCGAATTGATATCCAAATTAATGTTAAAAAAATCATTTTTAATATTAAATATTATATTTAATATAGTTTTTTCTCTTCATAAAAAGCTTTCTTCAGAGTTCAATAAATAAAAAGTACTCGATTTGGTCCAGCCAGTAACATATTGTGCCGATTCATTTTTATTTATATAGATAAACAAGTAGGAGATCAGTCTCCTCATGATGTTTGTTTTAAATAAGCACGCCTGATGTTAAGTGATATGACGATGATAGATGACACTCTCAATGCCAGAGTGCTCGCGAGTGTGTTGCCGGTTTTTGCCTTCACCGTATGTCAGTGAAAAAGAAAGAAATTGGTGCAGTATTGATTCTAACGTACTCGTCGTACGTTAGAATTGTAACGTACGACGAGTACGTTAGAATCAGAGTTCTAGAGTCTTTTGAAGTTATTTCAGGTATTATAAATAATACATAATAAACAGCACAAATATAAGACTCTTACCTCCTACTTAGATTTTGTTCCCTTTGGAGTAGATACTCTTGGGCCGTGGGGTTCAAGTGCAGAGGCGCTACTTACTAGGGGAGTAGGTGATCAGCCTCCTGTGCCTGCCGCCGTCGACTTTTTGGGTCTAACACAATCCGGTTTTCTCACTACATTTTCCTTCACGGTTCGAGAGAATGTTACATGCGCACATAGAAAGAAAGTCCATTGGTGCACAGCCGGGTCTCGAACCTACGACCTCAGGGATGAGAGTCGCACGCTGAAGCCACTAGGCCAACACTGCTCTTTTTGATATTTTACTTTAATTATTATTATTATCACTGTTTTATAAATATTGCTCTCTGGTTGGTAGTTTCATTATTATCTCCAATTTAAAAAAAATGCGCTATTAATTAAATTATGTCTGGGACTCAGATGTCTGTATCTGTTTCGTGATATTTTTTTAAAAGACACCTATGTCTTATCACCATTCTTTGCCTGACACTAGACTTTGGGTCTAAGGCATGCCGGTTTTCTCACGATGTTTTCCGTTTCTAGCTAGTGTTAAATTCGCACATAGGATTGGTGCACAGCCAGAGATGGAATCTCAGCGACGAGAGCTGACACCAACACTGCTCCAACCAAAGGAGGCCAACACTGCTCTGCTCTTTTTTCCTTTAGTTATATAAAGATTTTGGTCATCAAGCTCTGCTTTGGTGTTATAAGACACGTGAAAATTCTACGCAAGCGAATCCACGGGATAAAAGTAGTATTAAACAATTTACGGGAATTAAATACCGTTTAGCGGGATAGATTGGATCATGTCGGAATGTTATACCGTTGATACACCGGGCTTAATATTCGAAATTAATCGAAAAATATGTTAGCGCAAAACTCAAAGACGGCTGGATCAATTCGAGTATGTTTTATCTATTTCTAGAACTCTGAGGAAGGTTTTAATGGACCGAAAAAGTCATAAAATAAAATTAATAAAATATGTTTATTATGGAATATAAGATTACTGATCACTTATTCCACGTCATTAAATTTTGAACAAAGAGCGTAGGCCGAGAGAAAAAGCCGGCGTAAAAAACTCTCGGTACTCCTTTGAAATAGCAAATCATCAAACAACACTTATTTTAAAACAAATATCGCAAATTAATTAGAAGTAGCCTGTCTAGCACTAGTCCCAGGCTCTTTTATCAACTAGATAATCGTTAACTTTAGAGTTAACCTTTTTACACAGCTTTTCTTTAATACATTTCTTAAATTTATTAAAAGGCAGAGATAAAAGAGCCTCTGGGATTTTATTAAAAGAGTATCCCTTTTCCCAAAAAAGAATTACTAACTTTAGATAGTCTAGTACGGGGAAATTGCAGCCTGCGTTTGTTCCGAGTATTTACATTGTGGGAATGTTCTATTCTAGTAAACTTATAACTATTTTTGTATACATACATAATATTTTCATAAATATATTGCGAGCGAGTGTAGCGATCTACAATCTATGACGTTATACCCCGAAACGCGCTAATGAAGTTATTTCGTCCACTAAGTATGGTGGGGCAAAGCAACCAAATCCCTGTACCTAGAATAAGAAATATAAGCATAGGGATAATGGTTACAGTTACTAATAGCGACACATCCCACCATCTAAATATTTGCCGCCATGACGTTATTTGAAAGGAATTCTTATAGTTGTCTAGCACTGTATAGCTGAAGTGAGAGAGTAGACTATATGCAGGGCGTTCAATGTTGGTTGACACACGGTAAAAGGGAGTTCTTACTCCGGAGGCCGTGTGTCAAACCATAAAACATAATGTAAATACGTGGACTTTACGTGGCGCAACCAAAGTATACCTACCTAACATTTTACTAATACCAAGCGTGTGGAGAGTTTTAAAATTGGCTCCATACCTACTTCGTGTAATGCAATCACAGCGATTCGGTTCTCTTTATCACTCCACTCCATTTTAATATTGCAAAATATTGTACCATGTATTGGCGCCAAAAACTCAATGAGCAATCATATAAAAATGACAGATTCCAAATTCAAATGTAATATTTTGTTTATTTTTAATTGCAACTGTATTTATGGCCAGACTAAGTATATTCGACCTTAGCCATTTTTTTTTTTTTTTTTTTTTTTTCGTGGGGAAATGCGTTACGCATACCCTCCCGCGGCATGGTTGACCTGGGGAAGGGTGATGTGGGACTCGCTGTTGTGTATACTCACTAAAACCCCACGGCGCCACCAGCAATCGCCCGGGCAGGACACGGTAACAGCGTAGCCTTGTCCGCATCCAGCCACGCGATCAACCGTTAATATTACGGTCCTCTATGGCCACGAATGATGTGGAATGGACCTTGGCACAGCAAGGGCCTTTCACATCGGCCAATTCATCCTGTTTTATAGAGCTGGGGGAGGCCGGGTACAATGCTTGCAGGGATGCGTCGGCATCCCTTCTTTTGGACGCATGAGCCCCTGTTCCCCCGCTGGAGCAACTGCGTGCCCAGGATTACAAACAGGGTTGCACGGTGCAATGGCGACGCTGTGGTCTCCTACGGCGACGCGGGTAGGCTGCAGGATCCTTCTCCCTGGCCCTCTCCGCCTCTTCCTTATGGTGCATGACGGCTTCACAGAATCTCTGGAAGATTTCCCACATGCCGTCACTGTCCGAGCTTGTAACTGCTACTCTCACAATGTTATCGAGAGTAGCGTCCTCGCCCTGTAGCACGCCCAGTAAAGGCCTCCTTTCCACCTCCCATGCTAGGCAATCCTTTAAGGTGTGGAGCGCGTCATCAACAACGCCAGCGTCGTAATGGTGGCAGGTTGGTGCCTCCTCACGCCCGACTACCTTGTGCAAATAGCTGCCGAAACAGCCATGTCCGGACAGTATCTGCACGAGTCGGTAGCTGAGGCGGCCCCACCGCCTCCTCACCCATTTGTCGAGATGTGGTCCGAACGCGTTGATGGTGTAGAACCCAGCGCTCGCACTAGCCAGATCCTCCGCCCACTGTCTTATTGCTTCGTTTTCTTCGGCAATTTTCCACGCCTTGATTGCTCCGAACGCAGGGTCATTACCATTGTGACTGGGGTCTACGGGCCAGTCTGAACCACTTGTTAGGTTGCAGAAACTGTTTACATATGTGATAAAATTTATACGTTAATAAGGTTATATTATGCACAGGTGTGCGGAATGTTTAATTATACCCAGTGTACCGAAGCCTGTTGTCACCCTCAGGCTTTTCTTGCTATTTCCCGGCAGTCTTCATATAGACAGCTTGGAGAGGTTATCATTTGACACCAAATCAAGGTAAGATTTTTAAAGATTTTCTATTAATTATTAAATCTGTGTAATGTTTGATAAGTGTTTTCCCCAATATATTTCTGTCTGCGTATGGAAGTTCTACTGTAAAGTTTAAATAATAAATCTTAATCAGTTTTAGCTAACATATTTTTATATGCGGTTGTTATTTCGTAGTTATTTTTTAAATTTAATTAAGAAAGTAGAAATAAAACAATCGAAATTAACATCACATGAACACTTTAAACATTCATTAGCAATCTTACCTAATTATCCTTTTTATTATATGTCATAAAGTTTTTTCTTTATTTATTTCACAGTAAAAAATACTACATTCAAATTTTTACAAAGCACATTTCATTCTTCCTGCTTCTAGAATTAAAAACGAACTTTACAATTACTTGATTTAAAAAAATATGATTTCACGAATTGTCACTAATATTATGGTATAATAATAATAGATGGTATTTCACCGCCCTTCTACCATTCCCCATCCAACTATCTGGCACCGATTCACGGCGAGAGGCATCAAGCTTCGAGTCCAGGATATGACGGCAGAGCAGGTGGAACCAGCTGTCCAGTTGCTTGTGAAATATTTTATGCAGGATGAACCGCCCTGCAAATATATTGGTATTTTACATTAGGTTTAAAGACTTTATTTCTCAAAAAAGACAAAAAATGTCACTTACATGAGAATAATACTCTAGATAACATAACATTGTAGTCGTTCTTAAAATAATTACAATAAAATATAGCCGTACATGCAATAAATTTAAAAATAAAAGTAAACAAAGAAATATGAATTAAAAGTAATTATAAGAAATGAATTTAAAAGTAATTTTGTTTAACATATTCACTTAGCTTCGATTTGAATGAATTGATAGAAGTAATATTTTTTATATCTGTGGGTAGTTTATTATACAGCTGTGCGCCTTCGTAGGTAAACATTTTTTTGCCGTAGTTCGTACGTACTTTAGGTAATGCAAGATAACTCGTTCGACGCATACTTCGTACACGTGGCGGTTTAGAGAAAGCTAAACTAGTGTGGAGAGAACTTGTTATAATTTTTTTTACAAGAATACATGTGTGATAAATATAAAGTTGTTTTAGATTCATTATGTTTGTGTCTCGATATATATTTATGGTAGGTGCAAGATAATTATACTGGAACAGTATTTTTATAATTTTATTTTGTAATACTTGAATATTTATTAATTTAGTTTTAGCGGCGCTGCCCCATACTTCAATTAAATAAAGTAGATGTGGCTTGACCAACGAGTTGTAGATGGTGTAACGTACCTGACGTGGGATACACCGAGCAATGTGTCGAAGTGATCCCATAAGTGAACAGAGCTTAGATCTGATGTGCTCAATTTGTGTATTCCACGTCAAACCGCTATCCATTCTAAGACCGAGATATTTTTCTGTACTTTTTTCTTCTATGACCGTGTTATTTATTTTAATGGATCATGAGGTAAAACTTTTTTATTTTTAGATTTAAATATAATGTAGCATGATTTTGACGCGTTGACAGTGAGTAAATTATATTGAAACCAAGTGAAGAGTAGATTAAGGTCTTCTTGGGCTCTGCTGAAGATATATTTGATTGAACTGCCAAAGTAAAATAAACACGTATCATCTGCATATAAAGTAAGGTGACCGTTTAATCCAATTTCATGCAAGTTATTTATATAAATAAGAAAGAGTAATGGACCCAAAATAGAACCCTGTGGAACGCCGTATTCGATAGGCAACGGTTTACTCTGAGTATTATCTATTTTAACTACCTGAAATCGATTTTTTAAATATGATTGAAAAATTTTGAGAGCTGTGCCTTTGATTCCAATGCATTCAAGCTTTTGTAGTAATAGTTTATGGCTTACAGTATCAAATGCTTTTTTTAAATCAATAAATACACCTAACGTAATGTTTTTATTATCTATGTTGGTCCTAATTTTAGTAATTAAGTCAATAGTTGCAGTTAAAGCATTACTTTTTGGTCTAAAACCATACTGTCGTTCAAATAAAAAATTTATAGACGTTAGATACTTTGTAAGACGGTTATATAGTATCTTTTCAAGTATTTTACTTATTATGGGTAGCACCGAGATTGGTCTATAGTTTTCAGTATTAGTTTTAGATCCAGATTTAAAAATGGGAGTAACTTTAGCTATTTTTAGAGAGTCTGGGAATTCTCCAATTTCTAATAATTTGTTAAAACATTTAGATAGGTTTTTAGCAATATGATCTTTTATACATTTTATAGATTTTGTGCTAATACCGTCCAGGCCTGCACTACAATGTGTATCCAAATTATTTATTACTTTTAAAATTTCGTCACTACTACATGGTTCTAGTATCATCAAGTTTGTAGACTGTTTAGTTGAAGGTAAAGCTTTTGAAAAATTATCATGATAGGTTTTTGGTATTTCGTCAGCCAGAATTTTACCTATTCCAGTGAAGTATCGGTTAAATTCCTCACAAATATTGTTTTTATTAGTAATTTCGATAGATTTTATTATAATTTTCGAAGGCCCACAGCTAGTATTTGTTTTATTTTTTGCTAGGTCATTTACAAGGTTCCACATTTTTTTCGGATTATTTTTTAATTTTATGAATTTTTGAAAGTAATAGGCATCTTTGGTATCCCTAATGCGTTTAGAAACATAGTTTTTATAGTCTTCGAATTCTTGCTTTGTAGTTTCACAGTCACGCATGTTTTTTAATTTTATCCATAGTTTATTTCTTTGGTTTATTTCGCTGATTAACACATTATTAATCCAATCCTTTTGAGGTTCATTAAGTATTTTCTTTTTGATTATTTTACAGTTGTTTACGTGATCTATAATAGAATTTTCCAGTATCTTGTAGTCATCATTATCTTCGTCAAGTCCAAGAGTTGTTGTTAATTTTCCCAATTTTTCGTAATCGATCGCTTGGTACTCGATAATTTCTTTCTTCAGAATCTTGCCAGTTTTTAACTCTACATATATATGTTTATGGTCTGACATAGAAGATTCTATTAAAGCCATGTGAAAGTGATCTTTTATTAAGTTCGTTGTAGCGTGATCTAATATAGATTTTCGTGTTGTTGTATCCCTTGTGGAATACTTTTTAGATATTTTATTGAGTATTGTATATCCAATTTCGTTCATAAGTTCAATGTACTGCTTAGATTTAGTGTTTTTAGTTAATAAATCTGTATTGAAATCTCCAAAAACTATAGCTCTGCGTCTTCTCCGAAGCTGTTGAGTGTATGCTTCAAGGAATTGATTGTAGTTAGTATTACCAGGGTAATAGATGACACCTACTTCTATTTTATATCTTTTTAATTGTACCCAAAGATAATTATTTCCATCCTGGTAGATTGATTCTGACAAGTTGTGCTCAAGACTGTTATGAACATATATAGAAACTCCACCACCAATTGTATCTGTACGAAAATTGTAATAGTGTGTGTAATTTGGTAGTTTTAGTTCGCAAGCCTGTTTCTCATTTTTGATCCAGGTTTCAGTTAGTAATATTATGTGTATAGTTGTCGAGAACGATTTAAGCACGCATTGTAGTTCATCAAACTTTCCTTGTTTGCAAATACTTCGAGCATTTAGATAAAAGAATGACAGTCTGGAATTAGTTTTTTTATGTCGTTGTAGCTGTCGAGCACTTGATATGTGTTTACATTCGCTATTGCCTCTTTAATTATCAGTTTTTTGATGAAGTTTTTATTACACACACATTAATATATATTTAAATATAATTTCGTGAAATATAGCTTAGCGAGAGACATATACACATATACAAATGAAAATATTTAGTGTTTAGTCATATTATGTACGTCTGACATATACACTCATTATCTTTAATTATATTTAAAAAAACATCTATCATCTATTTCTGTCATAAGGGCAGGAGATTCCCCTGATGTTAAGTGATATAACACCTATACCTCCCATGGATACTTACATTGCCAGAAGGCTCGCAAGTGCGTTGCCGGCCTTTTAAGAGTTGGTACGCAGTAGTGATTACGCTGTGATGAAAAAAGACAGATAATCAAATCTAAAGTAAGAGTTGAATATTTTGTAGGTATACAAAAATATCCATCCGCGCAGGCGCACTTAGAGAAACTTTGGCGTGATACGATCAAAGATAAGCTGTCCATCGTGTGTGTAGAAGACAAACCAGGTAGCCCAGTTATAGGTGTCAATGTCTTGAAGGTCGTCTCTAAGGGTGATAAAGAGGAACCGTTTCAGGTAAGGTATAGCAGCGTTATATTATTGGAAATTATATTTCTGTGTGCGCAATGAACATTCGCTCCTATATAATATGATGTGTGAAGAAACACATCGAGAGGAAACCGGCATGAAACCCAAACGACCTGTATCTACTTGTCTATAAAAGATAAGAAAATGCCATCTGAGACCGCGACACGAAACACTTTCTTAAAAACAAAATGTTCACTAACGATTTAAAACTTTATACATTCATATCTTCAACGTCTTATCAACCAGACATATGCTGAAACGTATTCTTCTTGTATAACAGTGGTTTAATGATAAAATTGTTATGTAGAATTTATTACGTCTAGTACCTTAAATCATTAATATGTCAAATGGAAGAGACTAGCTGCCCACGATACAGAGAATCCAGAGTCATCATCTTTCTCTTTGTGTAGTAATTTTTTTCTTTCTTTCTTTCAAATATAGGGTTGTAGCGCCACTGGATTATTATTAGATGCATAGCTATAGATAAAAAAATTTAAGTGAAAAAGACACTAAAAAATTATAATATAACAATGTTTATAGGTCTGAAATCATCGGATTTAATACACGAATATTAACATTTTATAATAATAATAACAAAAAAGTTTATTTCCAATCTTTATCCTAATATCCTAACATCCTTCAGTATCATTAATTGGAACCCTTTCATGGGTAAAGGCTATCCAGCTTTCCAAATATATCCATGGCTTTCTTTCTCTATTCGCTTCCTGCTAACGCTATTATATCTTCTATCCACCTTTTTCTAGGGTGCCCTCTACTCCTTCCCTGGTCCTTTCCATCTTTAACATTATATTAGTATATATAAAAATGTAATCACAGACAGACGATAAAATATGGGCGAAACTATTCGGCGCAGTGGATTGTGTTTCACGCGGAGTGGATATCTTTGCCCAATACGGCGTGGAGGATTATCTTACTGCGTTTGGGTTGGTGGTGGATCCAGCATGGCGGGGCTGCGGGATTGGAAAGGAGATTTTATTGGCACGGTACGTACGGGTTACTCTTTTTCATTAATTACTAAATAACCCGGTAAACTTCGTAAGGGACATTTGTGTGAAACTTAATACAATATTTTTAAAACAGACAAAATGATCGGACCTCATACTACAGCTGTGATGACTAAGTGACAATTTTTTATTTCTAAAAAGACACCAAATATTTCCCAGCAAGGAACAGTTTTTATTGAAAACGTCAAACGTAGTTTTTAGTATTTCTCTTATTATTTATGTTTCCCACCGTTCAAACCCTGAACCACAAATATTGCAAAATCAAAATTAGCTAAATCAGTCCAGCCTTTCTCCAGTTTTAGCGAGACAAACGAACAATTTATTTTTATATATAAGATACGAATTCAATGAGCTTACTATGGCCGTTTTATACAGTTTTGTGTTATGTGGGCTATTATAATCCAAATTTTGCTGAACGTAACCATTTTGTCTTGGTGGTAATAATAATATTCCTTTATTAAGCTCAAAATATTACCTTATAATCTAAGTGAAATATCTCGCTTTTCTTATATCACTGATGCAAAAAAAACCATTATAATAGACGCGAAAATGACAAATACTTGGAATATATTCAGGACTTCCAAGTATTCTTATATTAAACGCCGAGGTGAGGAATGCCAATAATATTTAGACCTGCCTATTGACATTTCGCCTCCTTTATATTGAATATGTACAATTGTATTTACGACATCTACCTCAAGCAGCGTTGCCAGATTTTTTTATTGTCAAGGCGGGATTTTGGAACTTTTTGAGTTAAAAAAGCGGGAATCTCTCGTCGATAGCGGGACATAGTAACTAAAGGTGATATTTTAAATCAGATTTACCCTATCGTTAAATACTTGTCTTCTTAATAAAAAAAATAAAATAAACAAAACTAAACCAAAAAAAGTATTCATTAGACAATTATGGCGTTTCAAATAATTGTCAGAACGGAGGAATGAGTATATGATATACCTGGTATCTTTTTTTGGTAGCTGTTAAAAGAGCTGGTGCCATTTCTGAGCATGGCAGTGGTGTCTTGAGTTAACCCCAAAAAGCGGGAAAAAGTCTGTCCCGCGCGGGGCATTTCATTTTCATTAAAAAATCGGGACGTCCCGCCAAAATCGGGACGTATGGCAACGCTGACCTCAAGAGACATATTATAAAATAAATAAACAGATTTACCTTTGAAGGTGAAATAACAATTAATACTATTGTAAGTGGTAAATTTAATGAAAAACAAAATTTTATTAAGATTTATCGGTGCCGTAATAATGGCTGAAGCATCTTACGCTGTCTTCAAGACATGGAAAGTATCACATAATCAGACTCGCAGGTCCCAAAACATTATTAATAACAGATCTGTTTAGGACCATTCAATTCTTGGGGAAATACTTAAAATAAATTCATATGAAGCAGGCCTGATTGTTATGTAATAAATCAACCTAATATATATAATAATAATATTAAAAATTTATTTAATAATATTGTCTATAGTAGCTGTAAAACGGGTTCCTAGCATTATGGTATAGAGTAAGGCTAGATGAAAATGAGCGTAAGCAAAGCCTCTGGCACAAGCGAGGTGGCAACATATTTATTTATTGCATAACTTAAATGATCACGAAGGCGATCTGTTCTATGCAGCCCTTGTATAGAAATAAAATTACTTTGGAGAGGTCCAAGTGCGTAAATTAACAAAAAAAAAATATAAGAATCCATAGACAAACAGATTTTTATGTGGTCTTTGACGTACCTGACGTTTCTTTGCTGTCATCATCACAAATACTTTGAGTAGGTAACATTTATTATTTATTTTTGTTAATAATATTATAAAATGCAATTAAAACGTAAAAAGCGTCGATGTATCTGTGAAAAGGAAAAACTATTGAAACAAATTACTGGTGACCCGCCATATTTAGAATGTACCGAAATTAATAAAATTCGCTTGGGTCTTTTCACTGAAAGAAACTCAGATGGTACCGCTCATTTAGTTCTTAGAGGAAATGATATTTATAGCAGGTACCAGAGGCGCCTTGGCGATGTAGACATTCAGGCTCTTATACTATACATACGAGAGTCACCCAAGCGAATAACACGTCTAGATTTATCGTACAACCAAATAACCGACATAGGTTTCTTTAAATTGTTAAAAAAATTACTTATCAAGGGAAGATCCAGCATAATTAACTTAAATATAATGAATAATAATTTTACAGAAAAGTCGATTTTGAATTTGTCAAAATACGCTGATTATTTAAAACTAAAATATCTAAGATTGAATGGAAACGACTTTGGGGAAAATGGCGGCCAATATTTTGCCGATTTCTTAGTGAAAAATAAAACCGTTGAATTTTGTGATATTGGTCAAACATCGTTAACTTTAACAGGTATAGCACATATTGTTACAGCATTGAGAATAGATCATGGTGCGAATAATACAATTAAAGTTCTTGATTTAAACAGACTTGTACCGCTCTCCAATCGATATTCGTATGAAACGAAATGGTTAGCATATCACATTGAATACCTTTTGGAAAGAAACTCTAATATTATCGAATTACATTTACAAAAGAATGAATTCATATCCCATGATATGGAATATTTTGTGAGAGGTCTGCGCAATAACAAAACACTGCTTTATTTAGATTTGGGATACAATAAATTTGGTGATTATGGAGCCGGTTTATTAGCAAATTATCTTAAAGAAAATCCACAGTTAATATTAATAAATTTGGCGGGAAATGGCATTAAAGATACAGGAGCTCGAGCACTGAGCTTTGGGTTGCCGTATTCAAAAATTCGCGCGTTAGACATGAGTAACAACAAGCTAACTGATGATGGCCTTTTGGACCTGTTGAATACTTTGAAAAAGGCTTTTTACTTGAGATTTTTTAATATTTTTGGTAATAAAATTGGACATGAAACATGTGTCGTTATACAAAGAATGCTTCTAAGTGGCGCATTATTTCAACATACAATTGACGTAAGGTTATATGAAGTCGACGAAGTTTTACATGCCGCTTACTATCCAAATCCTGCTGATCGTAATAAGCATAATTATTACTGTGAATTAGAGTTCGGATTTGCACAACCTATATATCATATAAGACGTAATGTCCTGCCAGAGAAGAAAATTGTGAAAGTGGATTGTAAGCAACGACATAAATTAGATAAGACTGATAGAAATCGTTTTTGAATCCAATGATTTAGGTTTTTTTCAACTTTTGTAATTTGCATTTGATTTCAATTACATTCATTATTTTATTTTTTAACTTTTATTTGTTCCTTTAGTTAAGTGCAGGTTTTCAACGGTAATTAATTTACATGGAGTATATACACCTATAGAGTTAGTTAGTTCCACCAAAGCCAAAATACAATATACATTTTTATTGGAAATTATTTTTTAATATGACGCCAGCTCGAAAACTATAAACTTACTGTAGAATTGTATTGCTGTTACTAATGTTCTTCCTGACATTTTTTAATTAATTCAGTAATATTGAGACTTTAAAAAGCTTGTTTAACCGTCTTCTGTGCTGATAAGGGTGTTTTCATCTCTTACCCCATATTGTCCATTTTGAACATCATCACCCATTGTGAACATCAATACCGACATAATACGTGACAATCTAAAAAAATAAGTTGACATACACTTGCTAACATAACGTTAGGGAAAACGTCGAATATTAAGAATTCATTATTATATTTTAATAATATACGTTTTATTCGTTCGTCGTCGCCCCACTTTGAATTTACAATCGTAAGTTTCTATTTCATTGATTAAATTCATTATACGATACTCTGCTTTCGACAATATTGAAATTTCATTTGAATTGATATATGATTTTTATTTTAAACTCTCATAATATATTATATTTTTACACAGTAAACCTATTTGCAAAGCCCTAGGCATAAAAGTGACAGCAACTGTATTCACCGCGGCTGCGTCGCAAGCTGTGGCCCGAAAGGCTGGATTCCAAGACATATTTAAAATCACCTATGAAGATTTGGCGGGAAAGGGGTTTGTCTTTCCTGGCATTGAAGAAGATACTAAACATTCTAAGTTAATGGCACTTGTAATTCTCTAATAAAGAATTTTCGTATTTGAGATTAAACAATATTGTTGACCGTAAAAAAACGACGTATTAAAACATATTGTTGAATATTTTTCATAGCCAATATATATAATTATTAACACTTGCATGGTAATATGTAGTCACAACTAGTCAAATACATTGCATTGTATAAATACAATTCATTCCTATTATTAATCTTGAACCTAATGTTTTTATTAAATGCATATTTACATTTTTAGTGTTGTTTTTTTGAGTATTTTTATATATAAGAGAAATATTGGGTTTAATGGTACTTATTTCTTTCGAATATCATGACAACTGCAGTTATATTATTTAAATATTAATAAAAAACGTTTTACTTCTTGGGGCTTAGTCAAGATGCCACTTTATGTCACTTTACTCCCTGAAGTAAAACTGGCGCAAATGGGCAAGATTTTAAAATCCAACTACAGATTATTTATTAATGACTATACGAATTGTTATTGAAGTAAAACTTCTTTAGGCGCGATTAGGGAGTAACTCAGATTTTTTGCTGACGAAAGTAACGCTTACTATAGTCTGTGTAGTTTCCGCTATTAAAAATAACAGTCCGTCAGCGCCATCTAGTGGTGCATTATTTGAACTGATTTAAGTCAGTTTCTTGGTAGTGTTAATGTAGGATAGCATTCACTCGTTTTATATGATACTGATTCTTATAATTATGTTATTATTAGTATATTTATGTTTAAAATGAAAATCCATACCAGTAACACGTGACCAAATTAAAATTCCACTAAAGAGGTTCCCATCCTAGCTTGCTTTTCTTTTGTTATACATACGGCCAGTTTTTTCGCTTAATTTCGTATTTTACCATTTTGGAAGAAATAAATTAACACCAAATTATCTTAAAAATCTGGTCTATTTTATATAAAAATAATAAAGTTGTATAAGAGAATAGCAAAGTGAATAAAAAAAATTCAACAGTTTAAAAAAAAATAATTTCAATTGCAAAGTTTTTTGAAAATATCTAAATATACTTATTGATTTATTACTTTTAAAATAAGTAAATTAATAATAAATTTTCTGACGACTGCGACATTCTATAATATTCAATAAAAATGTTATAATGACATAATATGCTGATCTAACCTTCGTATTTGAATAATCTTTGTTAAGCACATGAATAATAAATATAATTAAATTATAACATGATATTTATTATTTAAGTTAGTATTTAATCATTTCAGTGATATATGCCGTCAACGCCAAAGAAGTTTTACTTCAATCGCGCGTAAAGGTTACATACACTTTTTTTATCATGTTACGTATTGGCGAAGAAATTTAAAAATTAAACAATCATAATTTCAAGAACCTGCCACAATGCGTTTCTAGGCGTCATCTTTTTTTTTGTAAGGAATCTCGCTGTTGGCCTTAAGGGCCTTCACAGTTCAGTTCGGGCTGTTTTGGCGAGCGTAGCTCGGCCTGAATGGGCGTTTTTCCCGCGACTAGCGCAAGGGCGTCTCCTGTAAGACTCGAACCTCGGCTTGGGCCGTCGCGGGGTGGTCAATCGCCTGATGACTCTTGATGTCGCCTACCTGTCGCAGAGTCCCTAACTTCTTAACAAGGGTCAAGATTTTATGTTTTAATGTCTTTACATTCGAAAAACATAAAAACTACTAGTGAGTAAAATTTCCAACATTAATGCCACACTTTGATTACTTAATAAAAGAAAAGGGTGTATTCAATTTTAAAATAGTGAATTTATGAATTCGCAATAAAATTAAGAGGAAGTACAAGACCATTTTTATATTTTACTATAAGTAACAGTGTAGAAAATGACAGTTCGTGGCGACAAATTTTCATATAAATTTAGTTTTCGATTTTCTACATAGGTACACTGTTAAGGAATCTTGACTAAGCCCCCTGCTTTTTTTAAAATAAACATAATTCATTTGGGAACGTAGATAGAGTATAAAACTAGATGAGCTTCTAAAATAACAATAATAACTAAAGAGAGAAGGCATTAACGTGAAATACTTAAGTGCGAGCGAAACAGAGTATCAGGTTTTCTGTCTCTATTTGCGTATCAGGGTTTTATTTGTTCACCACCGAGCCCTTCGTGGTAAACAAGTTGTCAAACCCATATTTTTAGACTTTATCCTTATAAGAGGTATATTTAAAGTGTCAGTCATGGTGAATTGTTGCATAATTGGCCGTAAAAGCTATAGTGAACGTAAAGAACCAAACATAATCTTTCATCGGTAAGTAACTTATTTTGTCACGACTCAGTAACATTGTTCAAGAATTATTGATTCGAATGTGTATTTTGCAATATATAAAATATAATATATATTGTCAAGAATAAGCAATCTTCAATGAATTAAAACTATAAATACGACAATTCCAATCATATTTTTTTTTTCGACTAAATTGCGAATCATGTTACCTACGTCAGGTAGATGCCACACTTCGTGTCCTTTGTAAATAGTTGGATTATAACTCGTTGAGACTACCAGCACTTGAATAAATATTCCACTTTTTTCAGTTTTCCGAATGAACCGTTTTTAAATAAAATCATAACACGCTTTTGTTAATTATTTTTTTGCTACAACTATTATTTCTGGAGTAGATTGAGTTGACATTTTTAAAAAATTACTATGATTAAGAAATGTTAAAATTTTTGGGTCATTTATAACATTGCATGAATAATTAAATTGATTTGCTTTTGTTATCTTTTTAATCGCTACAATTTATTAAATCACCTTTTTTGAATAAACCTTAATAAAAAAAAGGGTGCGTGTACTAATGTACGCGCGTAAGAAGTTATACTTCTTTGGCATTATTAAAAATAGTTTGGCTTTGTTCCAGCTCCAGTTTTTGATGTTTCACAGCGATAAGATGACAACTCTTTTTTTGTATTCAATTTAGTGCACTTACACTGATTCATCAATTGCTTTTTGTCTCTTGTCCTTATATTTGCTAGAGAAAAATTACATGTTTTGATTAAACAATGTGGTAATTTTTTTAATCAAAACATTACTCGATAATAATAATACAAACTGATAGTTAACCTCAATTGTAATGAAGTACTTAGGAAGGTTGATGAGCACAGTTTTTTCACAAATATTAATTAGTATTGGTTTAAATATTCAATTTAAATCACTTCTGATTATATATAGTTCAAAAAGCATTGCTAAATTTCTTTGAAAAAATAATTAAAACTCCTTTATTTGTTTAAAAGGTAAATGACAAATGTCATTATGGTCATTCAAAATTCTTGGCATACGAACTTCACGCATATTCTATTTCTTTTTACTTGTAGATTGTCTTATTCCTATCTCGCTCGCGCACGCTATAATCACACTCCTAATTTTGTGTCACGGTGCGCGCGCATCGTAAAATTTCACTCTCATAAATTTTTCATAACGCGCCTAAAGAAGTATAACTTCAAAAATGTATGTTTCTTTCCTGAAGAGGGGGGAGCAAGGTGCACCCCCTTGCACACTGCCGCCCAGTGCCTATGGATACCGTCATCCCAGACGACGGCAGCCGAGACGGCTACGGGCGCTAGCACTTGATAAAGACATAATATTCCAATCTAACCTAGCCAATATAGACTGTACACTGTACACAGTGTAGTCGGTAGCCCTAGACTGCAGCTGTGCGTCGTCTGTGTATTACACACACTTCCTATAATGAAAGTCTGTGGTGTATTAGGTAGAAAAGTTACTACGCAGCGGTTGTTACTACGTAGAGTGTTCGGGGGAACCTTAAGTTGGCGGGGGGAAATTAATTTTTTTGCACTTTTTTTTGGCTCTATCAACTGTTCGTTAACTGTTCTTCATTGTTCTATCAAAAAAATTTTTTGTTCGTTCTTATTTTTTTTTTTTAATTATAAAAAAAATTACCCTCAATTTGGCACGAACTATAGATATTTTGATATTTTTTTTCTAATAGTTTAGAACTATTCAATAACTGTTCGTTCAAAATAAACAACTGTTCGGCTTTCATTATCCTGTAATTTAATAATAATTAACTTTTTTTTTATAAATCTTAATTAAATGTTATTGCGCATGCGCAGTATCAATGCAATGCAAGAGACAACACAACAATAACAGCAACAACAACAAAATCATCATCATCATCATCATCATCTATTAGTACCAGGAGGATAAGTTACTAATTAGAAACCTTGAACAAAATTCTTAGAAATCGTTTGATAGCTAGATAATAATTAAAACGCAAAATATCAATAAAGGTATATTTTCTCAAATTTAAATACTTAATGTAAAAAAGCCAGCCACATTATCTGCCTCCAACAGCTTGACAGACCTAGCGAGCCTGTTCGCTAGGTCTGTCAAATTGACTTGCTGTCATAATAATAATTAATAATTAAAAATATTGACTGAGAATGAAAAAGAAATTGGTTCTAGAATATATTGTATCAATATATAAATATATATAGGTCTACCAGGATCTGATGGCAAAAAGGGAAAAAAGAAATTGACGCTAGCAATACCGGGGAAATTGGAGTAAAACGTTTTGATACTTTATTTCCATTATATCGGCTGTGTGTGATACATGCAAATATAAAAATTTATCCAATGATCAAGGATAATATTTGAAAATTTTACTGTGGCGAATGTGGGGTTTGAAATTTAGATGAAAACTCCAATTACTCCGTTCATGAGTTTATTCATTAATTATAGGCTATTAGAACTGAACTAGAAATGGTTCCAAATTCTGCACATCCATAAAAAAGTCTTTATATGAAGGAGAAGACGCAGTATTTAATATAAACCTATACTCCTGCATCTCAATTAACTGATCTTGTTCTATGAACTGATTTTCAATTTTTATTACATGTTCACAAGATTTTCGCCATTCATCGATCCCTACTTGAGAGTAAGCTTCTTAAATCATTTCTCTGTTTATAGTTTTATATCACTTGCAGGTCTATTGACGTTTTTACCCGCAAGTTTTTGTTTCATTAGTCCCCAGATTAATTCTATGGGGTTTAACGTACAATGTTATCGTGGGAGCCTCAAAACTTCGTGGCCGTATGATTTAAAAATCTCATCTATCTTTTTTTTTCAATTCGAAATCAAATCTATCCAAGTTTATTTTTTTGCCACCTTTCCTGTTTTTACCGGGCGTACTAAATACGCCCTTATTAGATCAGCCTTCGGCAACAATTCATCTTAAGGTAGTATTAGAAACCCCTGAAATAAACCAAAGTTTATATAAGTACATAATATAATACACACGAAAATCCAATAAACCAAAGTATTAAGACGTGTCATTCCTACTAACCACTCAATGTGCAAGTGACATGGGCTCAATATCGATGATTGTGTATGTTCTGCACCTTGTTGATCAAGTATTCTTTGATAAACATTGAAAACAATATTTCTTGCTTGCGATCGAAGAGGTTTTATCGACATTTTCACCACTTTTTAAAGTAAATTTGAAGCCAAACCAAAAACAATTCCTCGAAATTTCAGATGACAGATGAAATTTTTTTTTGTTGCCACATGCAAATCGTTAAGTTTTAAACTTTTTTTTGCCATCAGATTCTGGTAGACCTATAGTTTGCATGGGACTAATCCTTTTCTATTTTTCTCAATCAATATATTTAATCAGGAATGTTAAAAAAATGGATAAGTACAAGAAATATGACTTTAGATGTTAAGAAAGAGTTCATTTTGTTTGTATAAAATAACAAAATATAAATGAAAGTAAAAACCGGGTGATGATGATGATTTTGTTGTTGTTGCTGTTATTGTTGTGTTGTCTCTTTGAATCGAATTCAAATAGGCCGCGCATAATTTATGAGAACTATGCGCATTAATACTGCGCATGCGCAATAACATTTAATTAAGATTTATAAAAAAAAGTTAATTCTTATTAAATTACAGGATAATGAAAGCCGAACAGTTGTTTATTTTGAACGAACAGTCATTGAATAGTTCTAAACTATTAGAAAAAACAAAAAAATATCAAAATATCTATAGTTCGTGCCAAATTGAGGGTCAATTTTTTTATAATTAAAAAAAATAAATAAGAACGAACAAAAAATTTTTTTGATAGAACAATGAAGAACAGTTAACGAACAGTTGATAGAGCCAAAAAAAAGTGCAAAAAATTAATTTCCCCCCGCCAACTTAAGGTTCCCAGTGTTCGGGTGTGGTTTAATTTAACGTATATATATATATATATACGTTACACACGCTGTACGCTGATGCCTGGGGCCTTAGTCAAGATGCCTTAACAGTAGTGTATGTAGAACGTCAAAAACTAAATTTGTATGAAAACTTTTCGACACGAACTGTCATTTCCATACAAATTAAGTTTTCGACTTTCTACATACACTACTGTTAAGGCATCTTGACTAAGGCCCCTGGTCTATACCATAGTCCGTCTACGTTTGGGAAGAAACTCTAATAATGTTCATCTGGCAAGACTGTAATCCCTAAGCACAGACAGCCAATGGACTTTGTATCCGGCTAATAAATAAATTTAAAAAAAATAAGCACAGAAGCCAATGGACTTTGTATCCGGCTAATAAATAAATTTAAAAAAAATAAGCACAGACAACTGACAACATTCAAGTTACAAACTTCTTGTTACAATGTATATGATCTGTCAAAATCTATTCTTGCAATAATTTATAATATGGCTACCGTTTAATGTTTTGTTTAGAATATTAATACCCGTAGATTTGTCATATGGTACAATACGCGACAGCATCAATGGATTGTTAATAATTTTTATATATTAAATGCAATGTTATTTAAAGTCAGTGAAATTCATTCAATTATTTTATTTTGACTCGTAAATGCAGAAACCCTGCAATAATGCTAATTTAACCCATCTAATCAGTGTTCAGGAGGAAGTAATTAACAGCAATTCATCACCTGCTATCAAAAACATGAAGAAATTCATACAATCTAAAATAAACCATACGGAAAACATTCCGAATCAAATTGCCGAGACCACAGCACCATCGCCTGCCGAGAAGAAACCCCACGTCACTCCTGCAAATGTACAGCCACCATTACCATTAGTGCCTCCACCGCCTGACATACCGTGGACTCCAGTGAAAGTAAAAGAGGAAGTCGAAGATGCCGAGTATAAGCAGGAGTTTAAATATGAGGCGAAAGAAGAAAAAACTGAGCAAGAAGATGTTAAACCTCGCGAAGTATGTCGAGACTTTATACGTGGCACTTGCAAGCGTGTTGGTCCATGTAGGTACGCTCATAAGTTTGACCTATCTCAGCTTGTTGGGGTTTTTACGTTCTGTCGAGAATTTCAGACTAAACGCTGTTCATATCCTAATTGCAAATATGTGCATGCTGATGTTTTTGAGGAGCAAAACTTTTATCGTACAGGATATTTACCTCCTCGTGCTTTTGCTCATCAGAAAAAAGCTCCCGAGGCTACAAGTACTACCACATCTACCACAGTCACCATGACCCCAATGATTCAAAATCTTGCACCACCACCCCCACCACCAGAACCAGAAGAACAGCAATCTCATCTGCCCCCAGAGTTTGGATTTTCAAAACCTCCACCAACATTGCCTGATAATTTGTTAAAGGAGTATGCAGCTTTGCATTCTACTGACCCCATCTTAGATATGGTTCAATCCAACCCTCTGAAACGCTCGTGGAATTCTTTGGATGGATGTGGGTTATTAGATCTAGAACTAAATCTAAGTAATCTTAATAAATGTAAAAACTGTGACATACTGGAGTTTTGCCTCCAACACAGCAGGAGCAAATTACAGAAAATTATAGTTAGTTCTGAGGCTTTAAAGGTTAAATGTGACAAATTAGATCGTAAGATTGCCAAATTAGATTCTATTCTTATGAAAGTCTTACGACCAAATCAGTCATCATTTTTGTCAAGTGCTCATGACTTGCAATATAGTAGAGATATATTGTCGTGGGAAAAAATTTCTTCATTGTGGAATTTATAGATGAAAAATCTATCAGCAACCCTGGTGGTTATTCTTTAAAGATTTAATGTGCATCTTACTGAGGTTAGGATTAATTATTTAATCTAAGGATAGATATAAGTAGTGCTACAGGACAACATTAAACATACTAAGCTTTTATATTAATTACATAATCTCTGTATGTGAACTAGGTAGGCATAATGTTAATGTAGGTATATATAATATAGTAGTGTTTGGTAAATCACACACCTACTGTCTAAGATAAACAATAGTATCAACATACTGCTATTGTACTATATGTTTATTATATTAACCATATAGCTACAGTAAACTTAACTAATATGGCATACATAAGCTTATTTTTATGGGGTTTACCCCAAACTAATATCTATATGTTCATAAGATAAGTGTTCCTACAAATACAATCCTTATTGTTTTATTCATTTTAATAACAAAAATTTATGTTTATTACTTATTTGATTGGATGAATTCTTAGATAAAAACATTTTAAGTTGTCTAATTATTATTTTGTTGCAAGCTTTTTGTATTGTTATTTATCTTTCACTTTGTTTACTAAGAGGCATAGTTCATTTATTAATGAATTATCACATTAGTAAACACAGATAGCCAAATAGAATATACAGAATTCTCTGGAGGCTACTCATACTAAATCATGAGTTCTTTAAAATGGTAAATTACAGAAAGTAAGTTAGGTGAGGGAAAAATAAAATCCTGTTTTTTTTAAATATATATTTTTTATTTAATTATAAATAGTAAGCCATTGGTTCTGGTTTGCTTTCTTCATAATTTTTCTTTAGGCCAATTTTTGTCTACATAGTACTGATTTCCTCCTGAGCTTATATTGGATTGAACAATTTTCTAATTAGCTATTTCATGCATGCTACAGCTAAACTATGTTGTATAAAATAATAGAAATAACTTTTTTTTAAATATTCTGATGTGATGGGTTACATCCACATTGGACATCTTTATGAGATGATCTATAAATATTTACCCTCTACTTAATTACCAATTTTTTTTAGATCACTCAATAATGTTAAATATTCAGTATCAATATTTCCTTTCTTCTATTTGTCCATAAACATCATAAAAAATCGTAATGTTCTTTATTTAACCTTTTTGACAGTGAGTTAATTTTTTTGAGATGTCTGGAGGAAACTTTTTTTACTTTTTCTAATTTTCTTTGTTATTTTGAAATAGTTGCTTGATGTTGATAGCATATAGGCTTCAGAGATTTGTGTTTATTTTTGCTATTTTTATATAAGGAATCCTAAAAAAACAAAAATAGGTAACAGTTAACCTGTCCAATTGAGAAGTAATAGAATTTTTCTAGATGACTGAGATTCTGCCTATTATCATAATTTTTGAATAAAACTTCTATCTCTGTAAACCTTTATTATTTATCACACTAAATGATCACCTCTTTATTGCTTATAAGGAACTCTGCTGTGATGGTTGAAGCTTCACTTTCATTATCTGAGTTATAATTTGCCTTATGCTTGTGCTAAAATATATAAGTAGATTACTAAAAAATAAAGGAATTGTATTAATTAATAATTGATAACTCATTACAATTTTTTCAGTATCCACACTTTCTTCCGGCATGTTCAGTATAGGCAGAGCATTTGAATTTAAGCTCCTCCATTTTATATGTGTATTTGGTAAAAAAGAATCTTCAGTAAAATGTTTAGAACAAATACGGCTATGCTTATTCCAGGTCCAGTTTAGCATATCTACTAGACAAAGCCATATCTCTTTCTGTTCTTCATTTTTTGGAAACCTGTGACAAAATGTTTTTTTCAATTAATTGGAATATATTGTACCTAGTGCCTATTAATATAAGGTTTGTTATTTATTAACATAGATACTAGACCTATATTAATATTACATTATTCTGAAGTACAAAAAAATCGGACGGGAAATTTGTATAGAAAACTGCAAGATTTCAACAGTTTTAAACTATTTATTTAACGCAATAACAACAAAAATAGTTATACCTTCGTGTGGAAGGTTACCGAGCCTTTTATATCTGTTCGACCTGTATGTGAACGGCACCCTTTAACAACACAAGATATATATAATTTATACGACTATTCGAACCGTCCTGCATTGGGAGGAGGCAGGAACGCCCGCCTAGTGCTGAGAACAGTAGACCAGTGAAGTACCATTTCGCCTTTATGAGCACATTAAGGCTTTTTGAGGCTAATTTAGCCTTACCCTCCAAAAGACCTCGCTTGAAACTGCTCGAGCTGCTGAAGCTAAAAGGTCGGCAGCTAAGCGACTTCGGCGAAACCCGTACGTTACTTAGCTAGTGCTCCTCTACCGAAGGAGCTGGCTGTAATAATGGACTCCATTGCTGCGTTTATCGACGGTCACGTGACGCTGCCACTTGCGCCCACGCTTGAAAACACTCCTGCTTTCGGCGTGGTGCCGTTTTGCGGGAGTGTTTCAACCAGGGATGGAACTTGCTACCGATGCGCAGACAAAGAAATAAAAAGCCCCATGCCCTGCAGAATTACGTCAGGGACAGCATCAGGATCACCGACGGGAAGCTAAATAAAACAAACGCTTTCCGTCACAATATGCTGACTATAGTGCCATCGAGGGTACGATTTGTTTCAGGCCGGGGCAAAGTCGTAAAATGTACTTCCCCATTATCGGTGGTAAATGAACCAAGCCATTCGCTGATGGGCGTTAAAATCGTCAAGTACTACGATTTCAGGGGTGGTAACATATTAAAGCAGGGCGTCTGCAGCCGATTGAATGTGCTCTATGAGCCGGTATTACCGCCGATCGTCGGCAATGTCGAGCCAAACTGCTCCGGCAGAGCCGGTTGACTAAGCCTCATCATCCAAGTCACACGGATTTCAAAGCGTCAGCCGGAAGAAGATACGATCGGCCAACGATGGGCCTCCCGTGTCGAGTATTATCTAAAAGGGACTTAAGCTCCCTTATTATTGTACAAAAAGCGTCCTTTGCGGATCGCATCAAAACCTACCCGCTTGTCTAGGCTACCCGTTTGGCTCGCCCTTTCAAAACTTCTCAAATATCCCGATATCTGCTATCCCAGCTGTAGAAACTTAAAACAAGCATGGGAATTTGCTAAGCGGCGCTAGCTTCGTGAAGAGCTGTTGTTGGTTGCTTATAACTGCTGGCACGATGTTTTCTATCTTTTTAGCTGTGATTTTATATTACCTTTGTATACCTATATATATAAAAAGTAGAAACTTCTTGAAAAAAAAAAAAAAAAGATTAACTTTTTTAATTAATTTTTTTTAAGGGCCTCATAGCCTTGCGGTCTTATTAAGTGGCAGCTAGGTGAGGGGTACCGGGTTCGATTCCCGGTTCGAGGGCAATTTTTAATTTAATTTAAATTTGTTCTCGGCCTTTGGGAGGGTTGTGCGGTACCGGGCGAGTGCTTAAACCGTACATGGAGGGCACGGTCGAATTTCTAAGGCAAGCAGTGATTATGCTACCTAAGAAAGGAGACTGTGAAGGTTTAGAACTTAGCAATACGTTCTAGGCCGAGGATGGCAATTAAAAGTGCTAATTCACAAACCGTGCCAGAGCCATAAAGGAAAAAAAATCCCAAAGGAAATATGTAATACTTAAATTTTAACAAAGTGCTGGGTATTTTCTCGCAACTTGTTATTATGGTATTGCACTGTATCAGCTTTGCTGGCCTTTATGGCCAATATTGATAACTCTATATTTTTTGATACTTAAATGTTATGCAATTCCAACTTTATTACATAGGTACATAAATATCGAATTGATTAACCTCCATTTTGGAATTCGTTTAGAATTATTAAAAGTTCAAAAATTCGGTTCAGCTAATTTCATAAATTCATTGATTTTTTTATGCATCATGCGTTTTATATGCAATAGGCAAGAAACTTTCATCGTGTATATGGGCTCCTAATTCTTAGGTCCATATTCTAATTTGTAGCTCATTGACATACTTATTTACAATATGAAAGTGTACAAACTACAAATAAGGTACCCCATCTTTGGGAGTCATGGAATGATGTTTGGTTGAGAAGCAGCAAGTTCAAAGGCAAACATTATGCTGCAATTCAACCCAGGATCCCCAGTAAACCATGGTTCTTTGAGGTTAAAATTTCTAAAACTGTCACTTCTATCATTTCCAGAATGCGTTTAGGACATGTTTGTACACCTCATCATTTAGCAAGGCTTCGTATTGTTGATAGTAATATTTGTGAGTGTGGAGATGATATTGGTGACCTCGACCATATTTTCTTTTCTTGTTCCCAAGATGAAAGGAGAAAGGAGGTACGGTCGTACCTCCTTTCTGAATTACTTACAATCACTTCATGTTCCGTTTCCGACTAAAATCTCCTGCCTTTTGCTTTATCCTTTATTGTATTATAATGTATTATCTTCTTTCATAATCTATAATAATATTAAGATGCAATATTTTTGTGTACATATTTTGTTTTTAACCAGCTTATCCCTATTCCCTTTATTTCCTTTTCATGTCTTTGTTTTTTTTTTCTCGCGTGTAGTTTCCCAACCTTTTACTTTAAAATGGCATAAAGTTAAAACTATTGCCATAATATTTAAAAAAAAAATGGTACTCTAAACGCATTGGTTAAAATACATTAGTCAATTGTCTATATCCAGACTAAAATTAAATAAAATGTCAATTATCAAAATTTTTGTTATTGGTTGATGTCTGTTGCAACATTTGTCTGAGTTTTGTTTTAAATTGTATAAATGCTAATTGATTTAAGATTCGTAAGCTAAAATTCTATATTCTTCATGATTTGTATACCTTTCGAAATATAAAGTGCACATACATTTGTATAATTCCCTTCTAAGTAAATTTATTAAATGAGACATTTTATTAACAATGAGTTATTGGTGGTTGAAAACCTGTGTAATTTTAAATGGATTTTGCCTTTGTTTTGGTCTAAACAGAGATGAAATTATATTTCACTACAACAATACGTAAGTTTTAAACTAATTTCGATGTAAACAGTTGTCTTACTATTTTTAAGATTTATTTGTAACATTTTATCACTATCGAAGTTACGAAGTGATTTAATAACTAGTCTCTAGTTCATTTGTAAATTTAGTAAGAAGAGTTAATGGGCTACCAAATTAAACATTGTACTAAATTCAATTTTAATATAGACGTTTTAGTTAGGCACTGTCACTAAAAAATATCTAGTTCATTTTTTATTTGCAGTGCTAAAATTTTACATTTACATTTCAGGTATAAGTATAATGAGCCATATACAGTTGCAGTCAGTAAAAACACAGAATACATAATGGAATTTGGTGGTGTAAGTAATTTTATTATACTTGAGGACCTTGTTCTTAAATATATATCAAATATATATTTTACTGCTTATCTAAGAAATATGGTATTTATATTTTGTTAAGGATTTTTCTTATCAGACATTCAACCATTAACCTCATTATAAAGTACATTACTCTCCAGTTATATTGAGGCAAAAAGATTATGTATCATTCATTTTCCCAAAATTATGTTTTAGGACTTTGAAGCTTATGATACACCAGCACGGGTGACAGTTGCAAGTGATTTTGCCAATCAAACATATCCGTTGTTCATAACAGCAAGGCAACAGAAAGGTATGCATATGTAATTTATGTTTGTGTAGGCTTCTATTTTCCCATTCACTTTTTATGATTTTAAGATGTTAAAATCAAGCAATTGAAGCCACAAATAAAATATTCACCAAAATTTTTATTACTTCTCAGTCTTGTCAGAGGTATATTCTTAACCATTATTTATATAGTATACTACTATACAGGTAGCTGACTATAACTACAGAAAACTCTTACCCTGAGTAAGCAATGAACCATATAGTTATGTTATGTATGATAAAATATAGGGTGCTAGTAGTCTATGGAGTAAAAGTTATTGCTTTGGCTCTACAACAAGACATCTTGTCTCTTACTCACAGTGAATTCTGTGGCACTTAAAATCTTTAGTAAACTATAGAATAAATTTGTAACCATACCTGTACCAATCAAAAGAAGTTGTATTTGAACACCTAGTTTTATTATTGTTTGTTTTAGTGTTTCTTAATATATCTAGTTTGACACAATTAAGTCATTGTAATTTCAATAATAGCTGAATTACTTTCTAGGTGTGTTTTCATGGCAGTTACCAATGACAGTGCAAACCCTAAATGGATTGGAAAAGTTCACAAATATATCAAGGACACTCTGTCCCCACAATAATATATTTTCAGAGGATGAAGACACATGTCGTAAGTTGATATTCTTGACCCATAGTTATAAAACTGACTGAAATTCCCAGTTAGTTCAAAACACCTATTTTACCATGAACCCTATCAGGAAGTATATCCTAGCATTGACTATAATCACTTAAGGAAACAATTAAAGAACTGAGTTTATATTTAGAATTTATTTAAGATAAATTAAAACATAGCATCTTAGAACTTAATCCAATGTTATTGTCATGTTGAGGCTTGGCTATACCATTATCATTCCCTCACATTATTTTCTCATATTTCTTTCTCTTTCACGCCTCAGTCAGTGACAAATGGATAAGGGTGTACTGCGGGCCTTTGATACGTAAATATTTAACTTTAAAATATATAGGCTTGTTAAAGTTTAGTTTTGCTAAACTATATAGATAACTGACGTTTTCACTAGGTCACATTAAAAAATTGCAACGCTATGACTGTATTAATTTTATTTGACAATTGACAATGTTAAATTGTCAATATGCATCGGTACATATAAACATATGTCCACAATAGAAACAAACTTTTTAGATTTATTTGCAATACTTTTAACATTTGTAAGAAAATTGTGTTTGTGATTCAAGAAAGCAATATTGACTTGTGAGAATTAAATCAACTTCAGAAATATTTTTTTTCACAGCACTATTAATCCACCATTTAGCTAGTCATTTTGCTAAACCTCATCCTCAAATCAAAGAAATTACAGACCCTAAAAGCGATTTTTTTAATTTTTTCAGATATGACATCACTAAACACTCCAATTGTCCATCTTACATCTTCATCTCCGGATCCTATCAGTGTTACCATACTAGTGGAGACAGTTGAAGATTTTTACATAAAACTCAACACAACAACAAATTTAACCAGTACACCAAGCCAGCCTAAATATTACTTTTACCCATTTGATCAGCGCAAAAATAAAATTGTTGATATGGCAACACCGAGTGAGAGAAAGAAGTATCTCTGCTCGGGTGAAAAGGGTCTTTTGAACCGTAACCTGGACATAGACTATGGATGGTTGTCAAAACCAAAAAGTGTTATTTTAATGATTGAATCTGATGATGATATTTGTGCTCTTGTTTCGATACAGAATTTCGCGGTAAGTCTATTTAAGATAGAGATTTTGTTTATGGAAAGATAGTGATAAATAAGCACTGACATTAGTCGCTGGAATATTAATTTCTCAGTACTGAATTTATTGACCTGATGTCAAGTGACAGCGCAGTCCAAAGACAACGCCACTGTTTTTGAAAGTTAAATTGCTTTTTTCTATATCGTCACTGTAATGATAACCTCGTATGTCAAAAAACCATTTATATTTTATTCTTAGACTCTTATGTCATTTAACTGGAATAATCTGGTTATTAATAAATAAGTCCTTACTTCATTGAAGAACTTATTTATTAATAACATAAATTTTACCATCCAAAACTATGGACAAAATAAAATATTAATATTTTAACGAACATTGACGAAATTAAACAAATTTTGTTCGCTATTTGTAATGTTTATTTCTCTGGACATACTAGGTTAACATTCTACAGCGACGATATGCTCCCCTCCATTCTCATCATTCTTCCATCCATTATTATCTTCAGTTTTGAATGTTATTAACTAAGTCGGTCTTACTAAATATGGGGCCAATGTAGTCAACAGGCCGTGGCCTAACCACATGATGATCAGTTACCAACTAAATATAGTTTAATGAGTCAATTTTACTTAAATCTGGTATAATAATTGTAATATTTTCAGTGCCCAGTATTTGATAACGAAAGAGATATATTGTATGATGGATATTACCTGACGATGACTAGACGCGGTGGAATCACGCTTACTGTAAGTATTTTTGGTATACCCTCCAGTTCTGTTCAGTTGGGTATACAGGCAGTCCTCGACTTACGTCGTTTCAAGTTACGTGGAACAATGTTTAAACACTATTCCTCAAGCATACGTCGTTTGTTTCGATTTCCGGCATAGAAAATTTTTGAAGAAAATGATCCTAATTTTGGGAGAAGTTTCAACGTTAATAACAAAATTTGTGCAGCCGATCAGTGCTAACCTAACATGCCGTAAGGATGATGACTGCCTGTAAATCGGGTTATAGGGCAAGTAGTGGCTTACAGCCAGAGACAAGCAGAGGATAGAGCGGAGTGGACGCAGCAAGTCGACGGATTGCTTGGGGCTTTTCAAGACAGGAAAGACCTTCAGTAATGAAGATTAGAAGAATAGATGTATAAATCAGACACACAAACTAAATATTTGTATAATAGATTTTAATGTGCGAATATATATATATATATATATATTTATATATGTAACTGCTAAGCTAATAATACGTTTTAATTAATTTTATGTTATTGTTGTTATTTAATACAATTTTTTGTTAAAATAAACCAAAAACAGAAAAAAGTTCAGACCAACACTAATATAACTATTCAGATACGGATTAATCTATTTATTTATTTATAAAATACTATTTATTTATAAGTAATCTTACAGCTACACATTCATATTTGGTGCGTTCCACTAAGCGTTCACAACGCTCACGCTCACGACCGCTGATTTCCCCATTCCACTTGATTGTGAATGTTACTGTCGTTAACTCAAGTGGAATGGATTATGGAGCGTTTCGGGCGTTCATGTAAATATTACAAATGGAAGCTGTTGAATATAAACTAAAATCAATTGTATTAAACTTATATTTACATCTTTCTGCACGAGCAGCTTCAGCTTCAGAAACGACAGCTTCTACTACAATTTCTCTTTCAGAATCATATAATGTTATTTTTCTTGTCGCCATCTTTAAGCTTTGAATATCATATTTCAAAAACAATTTCAAAAATTGCGTTTTGGGTCGTTGTGAGCCTTGCGTGAGCATTAGTCATGACGTCATGAGTGACGTTTTCGCCGTGACCACAACGACCGCGGTCGGTATGTGGAATGGCTAAAGGAGAATTTTGATCGTCGTGAGCGCTTAGTGGAACGCACCAATTATAAAAGAAAACAATTAAGCAATAAGCCAAAACAGATAACATAACCAAAATATACGAAACAGAAAACATAAGTACATTAATAAAAAAAAAGGAAACTGATATTAATTTGCCCTCCTTTTCATTTAATTATGTCAATTGTATTATGTTTCAACGAACTGTTAAAAAATAATTAAATAAAATAAACCTTAAATAAAAAAAACTTTAACATTTAAACAAAACTAAATTGTTACTACTGCTAAATAAAGTCGAAGTATTCCGGCTTCTTAAAATATTTCCTCACATCCTCTTTGGTAAGGTGGAGAATGTCAATATGATGTTGTTTTTCAGCAAGACATGTTCCCGATAGGCTTTTACATCGTGTTCATAGTGAAGACCTCTGATGAGGACTGTAGTGGTCAATCCATATCTAATGCAACTTTACCAAAAATGGCTCAGTATTTCGGATGGGACGATAAAGTGAGTGTACCAACAAATGATGGCAGAGTCAAGAGTTTCAGGTGAGCATTTTTCTGAGCGTATTTAAATAATTGCGGGTATATCAATTTTTTTATTATTTATTTTGCAGAATATAATCAAAATGGTATGTTACATTTGAAAACCACTGGTTAATTAATGTAACCATGGCAGTTTTATTTAGGGGCGCGACAAATGCATATAAAAATAGTTCTTTTGTTGAAGTTATACTTATTTAGGCGCGTTATGAAAAATTTATGAGAGTGAAATTTTACGATGCGCGCGCACCGTGACACAAAATTAACAGGATGAAGTTGCCCACGGAAGATGCTACGGGATTGAACATAATTTAAAAACAATAATAATAAATATTTATTTATTTAATTTATCAAATGTAAACTGAACTTTAATGACTATAATGACTCCTTTCCAGTCGTTGATTATTTAATTGTAATTAATTATTTGCATGCAATCAAAAACTATTTTTAATAATGCCAAAGAAGTATAACTTCTTACGCGCATACATAAGGACACGCACCCTTTTTTATATGTTGCCTAACGTTAGGCTATCTATTAACTGATTGGGTAGTCCATATATTAGCCGCGTTATTCCTCAACGTTCTCTCGCCTTAGACGTTGTTTGCTCTCGTAGCACAGAGCGGAACTTGCGTTACAGCTCGGGTTTGTACGTCATGCTCAACTCGTTTTACGTTAAAAACTTAAACAAAAGTACTTTTCCTATTATGGGTTATATTTTTTAACCGATAGAGACATGAAAACTTTGAATTTGTAGGAAAGATCGTTATTTTAATATTAGCTGAGGAATGGTTTAGGGAAATAAACATTATATTGCTATACATTTTTTTGACGTGACAATGTCTAATAAATCGATGAACGCCGGCTGCACGCACGAAAAAGCATGACCAACTGTCCCGTTACGCTCATTGTCCTGATACACACATAGGCTTGCGCCGGTTCCATCTCTCTTCCACTTGAAGACTTAAGTATGCAATCATTTCATCAATGTTTTGTTATGACGTTGTCACGTTAAACTATCGTCCTTAAACAGACTTTACGACAACCACTTTTTTCTTTTCAGTCTCCGAGTGATTGAAACAATATCATATAGAGAATATATGATAGCTGCCGGAACAGCTCTTGGGTTTTTCCTGTCTTTCTATATAGCTTTCATAATAGTGATTGTATGTCAAAGACGAAGACGAGATCATGGTAAGTTATGAATTTATAGGAAGTACAATACGTATATAAATGTTTGATTAAATTTAATATTCAAATCTAACACTATTCCTCTTTTCTGTGTTAGACACACGCCATTAGTTTTTTGGTCTAAGTCCGGTTTCTTAGCGATTTGTTAGTTCACCTTACGAACGACTATTTAATGCGTTGAAAGAAAAGTCTATTGGTTCGAGCCGTGTTCAAGCCGATTCGCAAGCCAGGGTTGCACGATGAAGCCAATAGGCCAACTGTCTAAATAGTATGTGCGTTGAGTGTGCCTTTTTATGTAGATAAATAATAAATATAGACACAACATAGAAGGGAAAATTCGTTATTTATTTTCTAAAATTATGAATATGTTAGGACCTTCTTAAATGTTTTAATCTATTATTATTATTTATCAACACGAGAGTTAAGACAAAACATTTAAATTAATGAATATTGTGTTCGTATACGTTCGTTCGTAAGAGCAGTGTTGGCCTAGTGGCTTTAGCGTGCGCCTCTCATCCCTAAGGTCGAAGCTTCGATCTTCGGCTGTGCACCAATGGACTTTCTTTCTATGTGCGCATTTAACATTCGCTCGAACGGTGAAGGAAAACATCGTGAGGAAACCGGCTTGTCTAAGACCAATACCGTCGACGGTGTGTCAGGCACAGAAGCCTGATCTACTTGCCTATTAGATTGACAATTGATCATGAAACAGATACAGAAATCTGAGGCTTTCAAAAAGGTTGTTGCGCCACTGATTTATTTTTTATTTATACGTTCGTTCGTATAGGTTAAAATGTATCGTATATTTTGAAAGAATTTTTTTTTTTACACTATAGAAATATACAATAAAATAAATAAGTCCACAAGGAGGTACCTAATCTCTTCTATTTACATATGTGCAATAACAGTTTTAATAAGATGTCTTAAAATGAAAATTAAAAAAAAAAAATCTTTACGCCTAGAAACACTTCTGCCGCCAATTACGCCGCACGACAATTCGCAAGTGTCGTTTATAAGACCAACACTAGATGGCAGTAGCGGGAGTCGATACTGCGCAGGCGATCTACCCACTAAGACAGGTTAGTCCCTCTGCGTCCAAATGGACCTTAGTACTAAAAAATATATACTAATTTTATGATACATAAAATGTCCCTCGTCGCGGTCTACCATAAACTCAAGAACTACCGAATGAATTACGTTTTCAATAAATCCGATGTTAAGTTACTAAAATATAAATCTTGCCACAATTAACCCTTGCAAGCAAAGCTGCAGGCGGAAGATAGGTAATAACATCTTAGTTTAGAATTCTTTAGGGCGTGACCAAATATAGCGCGGCAGTTTGTTTTAGTGCCGCGCGCTTTATTTTGTGCAGGTGCATTAGCATTAGGGATGATCGATATTAGAAAAACATCGATATTGACATCAATATCATAATCGAAAGCCCATCATTGATGGTCGATATTTATCGAAAACTAAACCGCCGATGTTATCGAATATCGATGATTTTTGCTTTAATAATTGACAAAGAAATAAAATACAGTGAAATGGTTCGACAATTATAAAGAGACAGAACAAATTCATCAAGCATTCGTTGTTGTGTCCTACGAATCCCGCATATTGCTGGCGCGCGCCTTGCACGCCCTGTTTTGTCACGCCCTAATACTACCTACATATTGCAAGGGTCCCCATAGAGCAGGTAGGGGCAGTTAAGAATCAAATAAACCTATTTCTTTATTTCGTCACAATTTATTTTTGTTGCTTAATTATTACTTACAATAATTAAAACATTTGAAATGTTAACATACAACTATCATAGCCACTAAGACTAAGTAGTTACTAACTCTAACTGAGGGGGCCTCATAGCCTAGCGGTCTTATTAAGTGGCAGCTAGGTGAGGGGTACCGGGTTCGATTCCCGGTTCGAGGGCAAGTTTTAATTTAATTTAAATTTGTTCTCGGCCTTTGGGAGGGTTGTGCGGTACCGTGCGAGTGCCTTAACCGTACATGGAGGACACGGTCGAATTTCTAAAGACAAGCACGAATTTTAAAAAAATCCTATACTTGACGCTGGCTAGTGCACAAACCGTGCCAGAGTCATAATTAAATTAAAAAAAAAAAACCTCTAACTGAAACTACATAAAAAAGTTTTTATTTTAGATGGCAGTTCATCTTCCGACACCGATTCCGATTTATCGACTGTGGACGATGTAAATACTGAAAGTAATTTATACTTGCAAGGGAATAAGCTGTGTGTCGCTAATCTTTCTAGGTATGTACAGGAAATGGCAATTAATAATTTATTTGATTTTTGGGTGTTGGCTTGGGCGTGGTTTATAGCGTCGTTTGAATCATGGGGACCAATTGAGTTTTGTTTATTTGTCATATCATTAAAATCTTTTAGATATTTGTATTCTGTATTCATACGTTGAGTTACTAACAATGTTTCCTACATTTTATCAAAATGTTAAAAGACAAATTTCTTAATTTCAGATGCCGTCCACGTGTTTTGTCAGCGAGGTCTAAAATGTACCTTTGGAATGTTTTGACTGTCGCAGTGTTCTATACGTTACCCGTAATACAACTCGTCATTACTTATCAAAGGGTGAGTAACTATTGAAGGTACAAATCACATTCATCCATCTTTACGAAATATATGTCACCGTAAAATTTTAAATACCGTTAGGTTGTAATCTATCTCGCGAGATTATAAACTGTCGAAAGATTGTGAACCTCAACGCACTGCTTACAATTTAACGTATTATTATTCGGTAGATTGTAATCTCAAATACACAATTATTAAATGCTGTGTTGTGTGATGGTGTGTATGTGGGGTGTGCTCATGATGCAGATTATTTTACGCATATTCCGCGATAGCTTAATCAAGTCAAGGCTTCAATATTGGTCATTGTATGTCCGGGCTGCGCGAAACAAAACTTAATTTTTATTGTTTTTTCCTTTCGTAAATGTTTTAAAACTTCTGTATATATTATGTATTACATATTTGGCTATATATTAACTATAATTGTCTTTTGTTATGTATAATATATGTTAGCTGTAGGATACGAAATAAAAAAATAAAACTGAGTTTTTATTAATTTCTTTTTTCAGTTACTAAACCAATCGGGAAATCAAGATCTATGCTATTTCAACTTCCTATGCGCGCATCCGCTGGTGGTTCTATCTGACTTCAATCATGTGTATTCAAACCTCGGCTACATTTTACTGGGATTCTTATTCCTTATAGAAGTTTGGAATCGACACAGGAAATATGTGGATGTCAATGTAAGTAGGAATTTTGCGGTAAATCCTGTGAGCAGGGTTGGCTAACTAATTCTAATTCTAGTTCTTTAACTAAAAGTAGTGGCGTCTCTTTATGTCGAATTGTGTTTACGCTGACAGCGAAGTTTAGTTTAAACAATGTAATTAGACCAGTGTTTCCCAACGATACAACAATTTGATTGTTAAGGGGGGCTATTCGAAATTTTATTAAAATTATTTGTAATTTGGATTTCAGTTTTTTTCATTCTATGTTTTGAAAATTTACTTATTATGTTGACAGTTCTAGAAGTTTATTCCTAAGTACTTGTTCACGTTGACTCGCCGGCGCGGTCACGAAATATCAAACATATGGCGTAATATCCAAGTGTTCATATACGAAACGTGCGGTCTAAGTAGCGGGCAAGGTAGCGACTGGCGCGCGCGTGCCGTTCGCGGCAATATCAAATTTTATTTATTTTTATTTTATTTATTGAAAAAGATTTACAGCTTATTACTAACTTACTAAATACAATATTCTTTTACGCCATTAAAAATTTTTTTACAAATAGTTAAGTACTAATAATATTAACTGTATTGGTAACAATAAAATGATTTCATTCAACTAAATAAATATATATCAAAGAAAGTAATAAACTAAGTAAAAATTGGCTAAGTAACGCTAAACAGTTTAGTATAACTTATATGTACACTTATAAAAACTTATGGTACATCATTCATTCCACTGAGGAGCTCAGATGTCATAGCTCTCCTTGCCGACCCCACGCTTGAGGCGAATAGGTCAATATCACAAGTTAGATTAAACTTACTCGCCGCCCTAACCATAAAGCTGTTCCCTCTGTAATTGGTGTTAACTTTCGGTGTGTAAAATAGGTGCATATTTTTTAGCGCCCTATTATGCACAAATGCGTGAAATGATTGTGTGTGACGTCAAACTAGCGACGGAGCGCGCGGTTCACTCGCGACGTCAGGTAAGTTCAACCAGTTTGAACTCGTCGCTAGGAACGGTGGTACGTCAGCATGTCTTTCAATACAAAAGAGTTTATTTTCCTGTATTCAAATCTTGAATCTCTAAAAACTAAGGTCACAAACTTCTCTTAGGTTGACAGTATTTTTAAAAGTTTTTTGTATACGGTTGGGTGGAGCCGTGGATGGTTAGATTCACAAAAAGCCCGGCAGATGGCACTGCAGTCGGTACTTTCATACTTTGCTTAATATCCTAATCGCTTTAAATATCATGCAGGACAACGTCTGTGGGGTCCACTAGTTACTATATAAAGTATGAAATTCACCATACCGTTCCTTTCTTTAAAAATTTCGTGCACACCAATTCTATTTTTATCATCTCCCACTTTAGATAAGAATTTTCGGTTAAAAATAAAAGAATGTCGTCGATGTTTACAATCTCTGACAACACGTCACACTCGCGCAAACGCCTGGCGGCCAGTATGAACACGAACTCGCCACTTCTCCGCGCCCGCGCTTTCCAACGTGAACAAGTACTAAAACCTATCATTTAAGTATCTTAAGTGAACAATTCAATTTTTTTTATATTAAAATACAAACGACAAAATCTCAATCGTTGAAATTCTAGAATATTTTTTAATTGTCAAAAACATATCAAATTTACAAATATTTTATTGATCCACAGCTCGGTATACCCCAGCACTTTGGTCTTTTATACGCGATGGGAATTGCTCTGGTCAGCGAAGGTCTCCTCTCTGCAGCGTACCACGTGTGTCCCAATAGCATGAATTTCCAATTTGGTGAGTGTGACTCTGGAAATAATGTTCTCTCCAAGTGACATTACATACAATTAAAAAAAAAACCTGTCAATTGGATAAGTGGTGGATTAAAGTTAAAAAGATCAAATTTCTTGATCTTTAGTTTCCGAGAAATTTGTAGACAAACATAAGATTTCAGATGGGAAAAATAATATGTTATTTTTTATATATTTTGTATTTGTGTAGACACGTCGTTCATGTATGTTACGAGCGTGCTGTGTATGGTGAAGATATACCAATCGCGTCACCCGGACATCAATGCGCGGGCGCATGCCACATTTGGAGTTCTTGCTTTAATTATATTTATTGGTGAGTAACTGTTATTGTAATCATGGAATTAATTTTCCGCTCTTTTGACGGGATAATGTATATGTAGCTATACTCTGGTTTTTAATCCCGTAGAATTCTGACATATCATAAATGTTGCTATTAAATAAGGTTTCCACCGAAAACGGGACAAATTTGACCCATTTTAGGACAATAAAATAAAATGCTACGTATTTTTATGTTTTACCTACAAAGAGGTAAATCTAAATATTTACTTACTCAAGTGACCAACAAAAATAACAAATATTTCAATATCACCAACAATATACCGAATTAACTTTAATTACTTTATTTTATTCTTTAGCTGGCTTATTTAAAAAAAAATGTTATCTTTACTGTTTGTGATGACAAGGGACGTAATTATCAGTCGCCGTATAACTACTTTTAATGTAGATCACCGCACTTAATAAAATGGATACATTCACTAACAAATAAAATGTTTGTTTTGAAATTGAAAAATATGCCGGGCCTGGGTTTGTAATCTCCGACATGTCAAAAAATGATAGCTGTCAGAATTCTACGGAATTAAAAATCAGAGCATAATCCAGTGGCACCACCACCATTATGGTTTATAATTTTGATAGGCAAATTACATCTGATATTAATTTTGGGAAAGGTCTGAATAGGCCGGAATATTTATTTTGATCCCATGTGAAATTTCCCTTTTGAAACAAAAACTCGTGTGATTTTTTTATTTAATAAATAACACAGGTATAATCTCTAAGGTTTTTGGTTCGATTCCCAGATATGGGCTAGTAGCCAAAATGTAACCTCGTACGGTGAAGGAAACGAAATGCCTTAGACGCAAATAGTTGACAACGTGTGTGAGGCACAGAGAGCTGATCACCAGCTTGCTTTATAGACAAAAAATTATCACTTAACAGATACAGCGATCTAAGTCC